AATTTTTGGGAATTTCCCCATTTCAACCACTTGTGTTAATGGAGAAGTTCCCAGGATTGACTGTTGTCTCCATTTTCCCCATACTTCTATCATATTTGTAATAAAGGGATTTTGAATTTTCTTAATAATCTTTTTAATAACCTTTGTAAACCAATATGTCTCTAAATGATAGCCTATTTAAAGGATTGGATAACTAAATTAAAAAAATAACCATATATATAAATGGGAACACTGGAAAAACAAGATAAAAATATAATACAATTAAGGAGTATATTGCCAGAGGCTAAATTAAATTGCTTAAATCTAATTCAATAAGAAAAATGGATAAAGATTGAGGATAAATTTAACGAGGAAGAAAGACAATTAACAAAATTCAAAACAAGTATAAAAGAATGTGAGACTGAGAAAGAATATACAAGTAAAGGAAGAACTGCCAAAATCTACAGGATATTAATGGAGTTAGGGGATCAGACAAAAAGTGTAAAATCAATTTGGGGAATGGATGTCAGTGAAATAAAAGACAAGGACTGGAAGAATATTTGGAATAGAAGAGTATATAAAAATTTATGTCAGTTAGAATTAAAGAGCATGGATACAAGGTGATATGGAGATGGTATATAACACCAGTTAAATTAAATCAAATTGATGACAAATACTCTAGTATATGTTGGAGATATGGTAAAGAGATCAGAACATGTAAACATATGTGGTGGGATTGTGAAAATATACAAAAGAAATGGATTAATGTATTTAAGGAAATTAGAGAAATTTTAGATATAGACTTAGAAATGTCACTGAGAATGGTGTTATTACAGCTGATAGAAAAACAAGATTTTCCAGCTCTGGTGTCTTGATTCTCACTCTGTGAACTTCCTGAGTCCAACCACGGGAATTTTGCTGCAATGCGTGCCTTAAATGCCTAGCATTTACCCACCAAAACCAGTTCCATGCACCTTCCCTTGGTGTGTCTGACTTGTAATTAGTGGTGCAGCTCAGTACATCAATCTGGTTTTATTGCATTGGGAATTAGGGGAGGGGTGTTTATTTTTGTTGCTTCTCTACTGACAATTCCTTCTCAGGTTGTTATCCTGATTGTCAGAGCCCTCCAGAAGAAAGCTCCATCCTCACATTGCCAACTCTCAAGCAGCGTTGGCGGAAACTGCAGCCCACAGAGGGCGGATTCCCCTTTTTGTGCATGGACGTTCTTGGCATTGTCAGTTTTTGTGGAAGCCAATACCAGCCTGCAGCACCGTTATTTATTTTATTTATTTATTTCCCGATTTATATCCTGCCTTTTTCCTACAAAGGGCTCAAGGCTGCTTACATCATTCTCCTCCTCCATCTCATCCCCACAACAACCCTGTGAGGTAGGTTGGGCTGAGAGTTTGTGACTGGCCCAGAGTCACCCAGTGGGCTCCATGGCTGAGCGGGGACTCGAACCCAGATTGCCTGAGTCCCAGTCCCATGCCCTTAACCACAACACCACACTGGAGTGTGTTAGTCACACGGTTGCTTTCCAGGCTACACAGCTGGACCCTGCTGCCTCCAAGAGTGCCTCACTTTCTGATCATTTGCATAGTGACTGAATCTGTAGGTATGTCCTGAGCACTCACTACCAGGGGAAGGGAATCTTAAAAGAATTCCTTACTATTATACTAAATATGCTGATTACCCTGGTTGACTGGTTCCTTTGTTTCTCCCCACTCCCCCACTTCTCCAAACTGCAGCTCCTGGGTCTTTTTATTGTGTTTTAATAAGCACTTCACCACTTGGGAAATCTTTGGGTTAAACAGCAGCATGCAACTAAATCATCATCATCATGTTATGATCATCACTGTCAGCAGGCTTTTCTGATTCTGTTACCTGGCATAATGATTCTGACAGGAGTGCCTGAATGAAAAAGCCTTCATGAAGCCTGTACCCAGTTTGCCAAGTGCCTCCAAGGAGGGGCAGCGGAAGAGGCCCTGGCGGGTAGTGCCTGCTGCACCAGACCTGCTTCAGGAAGAGGAGAACCCAAAGCAGAGTCGTAAGAAATGCCCACATGCTCGTCGTCCTCGCTCCGTTCTTTCCAGTGCATCCAGGTAGGCAGGACTCTCTCTTTTGCTTTCCTGAGTGACATTGCTCCTTCTCTCTGTGTCTCTCTCTTTCTCAGCATCTCTTTATATTTCGCAATTATTAAAAGCAAGCTTCACATTTTGCAAGTACCTTTGGAAAATGACCTTCCAGGCATGTCACATAGCAACACGTGTAATTTTAAGGTGATGCATCTCTAGGTTGAATTCCAGCAACTGGAAGGTGGAGGATTTAATATGATGAGCCAGTGCATACCAGTTTGTGGCTGGCACAGGACCACTTTTTCCACCTGCGTTCAGAAAAATCAGCGTACCATGAGTCCATGAAACGCCTGGATCAGGCAAACGGTGGCCAACTGGGTATTATTTTATTATGTTCTTGCATTGCTGTGCCACTGAATAGCTAACACTCTCTGTGTGATTCACCCAGGTTAAAATCCTAAAAGACAGCATGTTGTGATACCAAACCTTTAAAACTGTACAACAGGACTTGGTAGAAACCAGCAGATGGGAAAGTTCACTAAACCCACTCTTGGTGGAAGTAATTTGATTGGGAGTCATTGGAGAAGTTTTGCATGAATAACGAATAATAAAATAAGTGCGATTTTAGCAGGGATTTTGCTTTGAAGACAATTCCTCAGGTCTTCCCAGGACTCCCACTGGCCCTTCAGAAGGACACAGTGTGTTTCACTTCTCACTCAGCGTCCTCCTTTTAGCATATCGCTGGTTATACTTTCCCGCTGGGTCCATTTACATCTGTCCCTCCAAGTGTGTTGAAAGGATTCCTGGGAAAGCGGATCAGCCCAGATGTTTAGCTCAGGCTTGGTCTTGTCTTGGGAAGACAAACCTGTTGAAGCCGTTTCTGGAGCAAGTCAAGACAAATGCAAGGAAAGCCATTTCCCCCAGCCATTCAAATGTTCAGGAGGAAGAAGAAACTCACTTGATGCTTCCGAGAAAACTCCTTTTGTTGGATTCCCCAAGATTTCACAAGGTGAAATCCCCAAGATTTCACAAGGTGAAATCTACAAGATTTCACAGGTGAAGAATGGGATTAATTTGGCAGATTGGCAAATTAAATACAACATTGTCAGAAGGTGGTATCGCCACATCAGTTTGATGCCGAAACACCAATATTATGGTGTTGGCAGTGGTGAAGCAAGATGCACTGTAGCCGTGGAAGCACACCAGGACGAGTCCCATGTGCAGCTTTTTTCAAGCATGGATACTTGAGCCAAAGGAAACATAGGAACATAGAAACATAAACACAGAGCAGGTCAGAAGGGGCCTCCCGGGCCATCTAATCTGACCTCCAGCTCCAGCCAGCTCTGCTCATGACATTCCTACCATGTGGACGTCCAGCCTATCCTTGAACACCCTCACCGATGGGGCCTCAACGAGCTCCCGTGGAAGCCCATTCCACACCCTTGGGGTCCCGACTGTCAGGAAGTGCTTCCTGGCATCCAGATGGAACCTTGGTTCCCTGAGCTTTGCTCCACTGAAGTGTGTCCTGCCTTCCTCTGCAGGGGAGAACAGGTCTCTGTCCACCTCCATGTGACACCCCCCTCACATACCTGTATGTCGCCAACAGATCCCCGCCGAGTCTCCTCTTCTCCAGGCTGAAGAGACCCAGTTCCCTCAGTCTCGCCTCATACAGCATCCCCTGCAAACTGGTCACCAACCTTGTGGCCCTACGCTGCACTGACTCCATCCTGGCTATATCCTTCCTGTAATGAGGGGCCCAAAACTGAGCACAATACTCGAATTGTGGGCGCAGCAGAGTAGTAAAGAGTGAAGGAGCATGTGAAAAGGGCCCTGCTGAAGCACATGGGATCTGGAGGAGTGCCTGCTTCTGTCCACCAGCGAAGGGCACACTACCAACGGATGACCCAGCGGTGCTCCTCACACTCCACTGGTGGCATCCTGTTTCCCATGCAGCTGCACCTGCAGCCAGGATTCCAAGGTCTGGGTTGCATTGTATAATTTTAGGCATCGCATTGTTATTCCAACCAATAGCGAAAGCTGAGATACAACACCGGAAACACAGCACCACAGAACATAAAGTAAAACCTTGAGAAGCTGCAAACAAAATAAGACTAAAGTAAAATGGGCAGCAGGAGAAGTCCTGAAAAAGAAATTGCTGACATAAAAAGGAACTAAAAAGGCTGAGAATTAAAACTCCTTCACCCAGTGCTCACAGCACCACCGTTCAGGCACCAGGAGAGCTTCTCTTGGGGGAGCAATCCATGCTGAGGGGCTACCACTGAAAAGGCCCCCACTCTTTGACAGCTCCCCCTTTGGCCTCATGTGACGGGGCCATCCCAAGGAGGGCCTCCGCGGAAAATCTGAGGTCTTGGAATATATATGTTTGGGGAAAATGGCCCTCAAGTGACCCAGCCCCAAACTGCCTCAGTTTTCAAGCTGCAATTCCCGCAGCTTTGATCTGGCCAGAAATGAGCCGGCAGTCAATGCAGATCAAGGAACACTGAAACAGAAGCACCACATTGACAAAGAACACCAGAGATAGCTTTCATCGCTTTGTTGGTTTCACAGTGTTTTGACTCCTTTTGCAGGGTGAAGCCACTTAGAAATATCAGTGCAACTTTAATTCAGTACACAGAAGGAGGACTGAATGCTTTTGGCTGGTTAGAGAAAACGACCTTTCTTGGATATGCAACCCTTAAATTTGGAACAGAAAGTGGCTGAGCTGGTCAGTTGAAACTGGGCCCCACCAGCTCCTGGACGAGTTCCTCAGTTGTGCAAAAATGGCCCTTCCAGATCAGTCCAGGAAGACGCAGAAGGATTTGCACGCATGGGCAGCACTTTCCTGGCTGGGTGCTCCTAAGCAACTGGGAAGGAGGGAGACATTTCGGGCAATGCATAAGCCTCTTTCCTTGACCGCCACAGATGCACCAATGTTTACAATCAGCTTCAGCGGGGAATGGCCCGGATTTTGTAGGGCCTGGGATGGCAGGTAAACTGCATGACAGGTTCTTGGCTGAGTTTCTCCACGCCATCTGGCAGCTGGAACTGGAACGCTCGCAGGAGGCTGGTCAGGAAGAGAAAGAGCTCCATCTGCGCCAGCTGCTCCCCCACACACACCCGGGCCCCTGTGGAGGAAGGG